GGGGGGGGCACAGGCAGTGGGGGGAGGGGGAAAATAGGCAGAAGAGTGAAGAAAAATATATACATAATTCTTCAAATCCATTTAAAGGTACAATGCATCGATTCAAAATATAATACAATAATGATTATTGAGTTCTACTTTTACAGGCTGCATTAGCTAGAATTAGAAAACCTTTATTTGCTTTTGCGCGCGTCTCTAATATACACAAATATTTATAAAGACTACCACAATCATTTCACAGTAAAAAGGGAAACTGAACTAGCTGGCAGGGTCACAGACCCACTTTTCTGCACGATGTAAAACATAGTAATAGGATTTACAAATTAGCGTATTGGTGTCATAATAAATATTAATATTTGCATCTCCTTCCTGTCCAAATAAAGTCATAAAATTCTGTTTGTGTCAACCTAGGAGACGCATTACAACAGAATACCCGTAATCTGAATGATTGCAGTGTGCCTCTGTATAAAAATAATTGCTTTGAATTTTCAGAATCTGAGCTTGCAGAGGAGGCTTGTCATGTTCAAACTACTAATTTGCTGTCGCCACTTTATTGAAAATAGCCTGTAAGTTGTTATTAAATGTATTGACTGAACGACAGAGAGAGTAGTAAAACTGCCCCTTAAGATGGCTTTTAATAGGAAGCTGAGAAACAAATTTTGCAGCAGCATCGATTTGAAGAGTTCAATCAAAACTCCATTTCAAAACTAATTAGTCTGAGATCCACGACACATTGACACGTTCTTGCAGAATCACAGTGGTTACAAAGGGAAAGCTGAACTAATACATTGTCAGGACCTCCAGCCAAAGGGACTAAACTGTCTGGAAACTAAGGGTCCATTATTAGGGCATCTTCTAAATCAGGACCAGTTCCGAGTAGTTACAGGATGCATTGAGGTTACTTCCAAAGCTTTACGATATGCATTTTTCTTCCTCCATTGTTAGTAGTAATGAAGTTGGCACGTAGAAAAGGTGCACGGGAAGCACTGCAAGAGGAGGTGGCAAGGCACTGTTACGTTTCCAGAGCAAAGATCCAAAAATCTAGGGTGAGGGGGTGGCGACAAGGGCATTGCTGGGTAGGTTGGAGGAAGAAAGGCAAAGATGAACAGACAATGTTACTTGTCCGGGAGAATCTGAACCTGGTGAGCGGTCAGTCTCTCGCAACCCTCTGTACAACTGCACCACCCAACTGAAAACACAGCTTTCAGAACACTGATCCCGTTGCACTACTTGTCTTCATTAGGCATTCATTTGTTATACAGTTCGAGAGATGACTAGAAGTGGTTGTACACCTTGAATGTCTGTGAATTCTAATAAATGGAGTCAAACTAATCCAGAGGCTTTCCACACATCTTAGGTTTTCCCTAAGCACATTCCCAGAACAATTCTGTTTTGGGAAGTCACTTCAGCTGAATCTTCTGCTAAAATTCCTAAAAATTACATGCAAAGTCAGAACACCTTTCTGCTGCCTTGTATTATTTACCAGGAAAATTAAGCTTATTTTTCCTTCTCTACTGTTATTGAATGGTTTTGTTCTGTAATACCATTAACAGGAAAAAGGTTTTATCTTTTAAAAAAAATGTTATTCCTCCTTACCAGTAAAGGAAGTCTTCCACAGTAACTATTCTTTACTGAAAAAGTTGTTTCACATGGTTTCTGAGAGGCTGGAGAGCTAATTATCTAACCGGGGGGACTGTCCAGGACAGTATTTGATTTAAAAGGCTTGAGGCTTTAGGTGCTCAATTAAGTAGCTATCGGTCTCAGACTGGACTTTAATGGGCTCTTTTCTCTTTAACTGCAGCAATGGGTAGAGATACCCCAGGTCAGGCTAATTAAAGCCAGGGGACTCTTTAATTGTGATGACAGAATTGGTTTCAGTTTCCTCTTTGGGTCCTCAGTCCAAGAAGGTCATTAATATTTCAACATTTGGGCAATGCAATCAATCACAAACATCAAGAGGTTCCCTATACAGACAAGGCAGCGCTTCTACACTTAGCAGCACTTCACTGAGCCACCTTAAATTAACTACTCTGTGGTTCCATCACAGCGTTCCCCACACCCCCAAACACACAAACGCTCCTGGGTTTTGATTTGGTGCCTTTTCACCCCCTCCCCCCTCAGAACTTTCACTAGAGTGGGAATGAAGGCAGCAAGAAACCTTTTCAGCCAAGTTTCCCATCCTCCTGCTCAAAATTCAGTATCAGCAGAAACACATCTCTAGCAACTTAGACTAACAAAATGAGGTTCCAGTTGTTTCTAAAATCGTGGAGACAGATTTAAGTGCTCTGGTTCTTGCACAACACGGTGCACATTTGTGCCCACAAATATATATCCAAGCTCTAGCAAAGAGAAATGCACATCCAGACCTACTGATCCAGAAGCGATTGGTGTTTCTGTACAATCCCTATATTTAATCTAAATTCTGCACTAGCTATATTAAATGTAACAAAGAAAGGCAACACAGAAATTACGCATGGAGCCAAGTCCATTAAAGGTACTTCAGAATAACTAGAGACCAAGCACCTTAAAAGCACCAGAAGCTATTGATACTTAAAAGGGGGGCTGTGCATAATGGCAAGTGCTGCATTAGAGAAGGGGAAGGGGAAAAAACCAAACAAAACAAAACAAAAAAACCCCAGCCAAATTACGCTTGGTTAATTCAGAGTAACAGATCTGCCCCCAAGTGAATTGGAGGCCTTGAATTAATTCTGTTATGACAAATCAAGATAAACGTTCCCCCTAAATTGCATGCGATTTAATTAATTTTTGAGATCCTGGCTTTTTTTTTTTCCTAGCTAATAGTTCACATGCTCCTGTGCTGTCATTGTGCTTGAGTGGGCAGACTTCAAAGTGATATTAAATAACCAACTATTAGATTTACCTAGCACGTCCTATTGGAAAAGTGCCATTTAATTACCTAGCCTGTTCAATTAAAGGGACAGCATTCCCTGAATATAGCAGCTTGCCGCTGATTACCAGGGAAATGAACCCGCTGCCTGCCGGCCCCCGCCCCGCGGCGGCGCGGCGCACACGGCGGCTGCCCGGCCC